TTCTGTCCAATGAAATGAATAGTTTAAAAAGGAAGGTAGTAGTTATTATTTTCCAATATGTAATGTAAAAGATAATAATTCTTTCAATATTTACCCTGTCTCCAAACCCTTAACGTTAATAATTTACCAAACAGTAGCTGCCTAGTCTGCTAATTCTAACTAATTGTTGTAAGTGGATCAATTTCATGATATTGTTTCCCCAATAGTTTATCGAAGTGGCTGGATCCTCAGGATTTCTTGCATATAAGGTGTTCTTACAAGCCAATAGTACGAGATAATAATGTATGTAGAAATACAGGATGTGAAAAAATTATTAAAATCGTTTATTAAGTCATATTCAGCCAGGGATCGGACAAGAATTTCAAGAATTTCTTTCGAACACATAAACTAGGATATGAGTTCGGATCCCCGTAATTTCTGGCATATCTAAGATACTGCATCGAACCCCATTGAGAAATGACGAAGGTATGCGATAGATCACTGAAAATCACTTGGTTTTATCTACTATATGACCAATATCAGTCAGGTGTGTCAAGATATAGCTGGGTATTGTTTTTGTCTGGCCTTTTCATTTAATTCATCACTTATTGTGTAAGCAACAACAATTACTTTCAGTTGTTCCAACCGATTGGTTTATCCGAATATACGATGATCAGTCAGCTTTGTTAACATTGTTAAAAATAGCATAAACATTTATTTGTTCATTCATCCTCATTTTATCCATACAGTGACATGTTTGATTCATATCATCAAATAAATTATCAAATTTCACCAAATTCCTAATCAGAAATGATATATAGTCAATGAATTTTTCTCTCATCAGATCTACATATAGAGATATACAACTGTATTTTGACAAAATTTCCTCTACTTATCATACCAGGTGGTTTGAACAAATCAGATCCCAAAGGAGGAAGAAATCTGGAAGAAGCTCTGGAAGTGGATAGAACACACATTGAAGAAAGCACCCAACTGCGCCACAAGGCAAGCCCTCATAAGGAATCCCTGAGACCAAAGGAAAAGAGGATCACCAAACAACACATTACGCCGAGAAATGGAGACAAACATGCGAAGAATGAACAACAATTGGATAGAATTAATAATAAGGTCCAGGACGGAGTGGGTTGGAGAATGCTGGTCGGCGGCCTATGCTCCACTGGGAGTAACAGGCGTAAGTAATCATACCAGATGTCTCATAAGCACTATAACAAGTTCCACTTTCAGCATTTTTAACATGATTGGAAAGTTTATTTTAACATACAGTTAACCGGAGAACCATTTATTTATTTATATTCCATCATTTTAATGTTTTGTTATATTTCCTTGAAAAAACTTGAACAAGATTGTCGAGCGAAACGGTGGATTCCCTTCAAGTTCAATCGCTGAGAGTTTAAAAAACTATTTTTCCTCCATAATATTTTACATTACACATCAGCACCTAACTACCGTGAAACCATTCGTTCAAATTTAAACAAAATTTCTTGTAAACTAAACATTTAGTTTTACATACTTATTTTTCACTATTTATCGAACATTTTATTACACACACAACACTATGCAATGGTTAATGAAATTATGATTCTCAGAAATCAATTATCAATACCAATCGACTTTTAATTCAATAACTTCTTTGTCAAACATCAATTAAAGCTACACTCCAGGTAGAACGAAAAAAAAAACAAGAGATTTAGAGTTGAGATTAAATTTTTATTTAAGGTTTACAACTAGACGAGATAAATAACAAAACCAGACATTTTTAGTAACAAAAAGATATAAGACCATTGTATTTAGTTTAGTAGTTTCAGAAGTCAAAGTATTGAAAACGTCTCGCTCTCATGAACGTTTTTTATATCCTCCTTTTCAGATAAAATTATATTCTTAATACAGTTTTTAAACTTTACAGTTTACTGTCACTTTTCCTATTATCAAAACGTTCCTTGGTTGTAAGTTTTTTTCTTTGATTGATGACGAGTCGGTATAAAGATATTATTTGTCGGCGCCCGGATTATCGAAATTTCGGTGGATAGCGACATGTTTTATAGTGAATTAAAACAGTGGGACTGTAAAAGTCGCAATAAATTAACGGTTTCAGCTTTTGAAATGTGTAGTTAATCATAATGCATTTCCGTTGCTCCGATTGTGTATCTTAAAACATTAGTATTTTGTCCATTTATGTCTATATGTTTATTTCCTAGCCTCTTTCGTATAGGGTTTAATAATACCATAGTGAACAAGAACACCAGTTGGTATAACCATATGTATTTGAACACAAATTACAGAACCCCTTAGCAAAATCTGAGAACGCTACAGCAAACTTTTCATTTGGGAAATGTCAGTCAACTGTCTCAGACTTCATTGTTCCTTTGTTTCCAAACCAATCACTCTCTATTCTCGTCCTCTTTTTTTCCCGATCTTTTTAACCTTCTGCCGTCAGACGTTTCACTCTCGACTGGTGATATACACTACAGTAGCACACGCCAGAGTGAACTTCAACTCTGAGATGCAGGTACATCCAGCTGGGACGAAACGCGAGTCCTGGATTCTACTGCTATCCACTATCCATCTTTGCTTAGAACATGATTATAGTTATCTAATACTTGAGAAGTATCTCATTATATTCAATAAGTTGATTTATTCAAATGAACAGTAGTCAATCAATAAAAAAGTAGATTTACAGTACTACATTCTAATTGATAATTATTAAATAAAGTTATGTCATTTATGTTGGCTTGAATACACAAATAGCTAGTTAATCACTTAAGAATGTTTTTTCCTTAACTTTAATGAATCAATTTGAAAAAAAAAAACATCACATTCAATGGTATACTTTAGTTGTCACCATATTTGCTACTCACAGTATGATTTTTGAATCATTGTTGTATGTAATAATAAATATATTGTATTTTTTTCTGCAAGCCAATTACACAATAGAATAGTTTAATAATTACATGATATTCTAAACTTCAGTAAAATTTTATTTGGTACTTAGATAGAAATTAACTTCAAACTATGTAGCGCATAAACATTACATACATATATACAGATAAAACTACAGAAAAAAGAGCACATGATAACATATTAAATGTACGAAAGTCAAATGATACTTTACAGATCTTTTAAAATATGTATACTTCATTGGAATACATCTCTCTTGAAAATAAAATAATGAGTTAGTTTAGATTTTAGTTAAGAGAAATCCTGTTGTTATTATACAAGTTTCACCTTATTTGACGGAAGTATTTATTTGATTTTCTCAAATTTTTCAATAGATACAAGGATACTGAATCAACTCAAATTGTCTATCTCTTGGTGGTCGATATAATGTGAACCATGAACTGAGTCTAAATAGAACGTTCAGTCAGAAAATTGCCCAATGTTTTGGCGATTAAAAAGATTCATAAGTTAATACTGATTTAAGTAGGCATCTTGCTTGAATGCCAACAAATTACTGAAAAAATATAGTCTAGAAACTTATCAAAATGAAATTAATGTTAATAAGGGTTTACTAACGATTAAGTTTATGGATCCTCTTTAGCTCCCAATATCACTGAAAGCTAGTAGGAACGAACCTGAAGCACTGGCCGAAATATCAAAATACAGGAGTAAAAACGCAAATATCCGTGTAAATCAAGGTTCAGAAAGAAAATGTTATTATAAAGTGCACTCCAGAATCCGGTGGTTAAGCTGTAAATCAATAAACCTGTAACCAAAATTGCTGAATACGATACAGTTGGAGTTAGTAAAAAGTTGCAGTATACGTTCAAGTGGAACAACATGATACAGATTTCTCTTATTGTCATTTATGAATGGTTAAGTACGATCGTAAAATAATTCGATCTATTGGTTTTGGGAACTGATAATATTTTGAATGTATATGTAACCTTCAGGACACAACAATTGATTTTGTCATCTATAAGCAATTCTTTTACGGTAGCGAACCGATGGACTCACATCATAGCTGTTGGGTAGGTCAAACTATTATGTTATTTGAACTATTCGTGAATGATATAATTGATGATACCACTGAATAAAATACTATATTTCTGTGTCAGTCATTAAAACTTTGTACTGTTAACCTTTTATATAACGGAATCGAGCACTCCATATATAACAGGAATGTGAATCAGATAGGATAGTTGCACATTCAATTGTTGTTTAACACTTACAATAAAAAATAACTGTTACTGGTAAGTGGTAAACAAAAGTGTAAGCAGGTACTTTCTACTAACATTTATCTTTACTGAGATTTAGTTAACATAATGGAACATTGGTAACATTGAATAAACCGTTTTTTATCGGTTATGTCAAATATCAATCAATGATCAATAATGTCTGTAGTTTAAATCCAGAGTTGATCTTCGTTAGATCACGAGTGAAAACCTGGAAGCACTGGATGGTCATTTCGTCCTAGTAAGAAACTTCTCAGTTGTAGGCATTCACGACCCGGACCTAGAGATCGAATCGCCTCCAGAAGAATCTTCTGCTGGGAATAAACGGCCATCATAGTATTTTAACGTTCGCACTAGTGGTATAGATAAGATCCGTTCGTGATCTATAACATAATAATTCGACAATCCTCACAAATCTCCCCATACTGATTAAAAATATCTTTTTATGTCCTATGATTAATAGATGGAGTTAGACTTTATGTGATGTAATTTAAGGTTGTTTATTTATTTGTAGAAAGCAGAATGGGTGAAAAGTAAAATTTCAACATTTTTAAAACGTACCATTCATTTAGTTCAAATATTCATGAACATAGGATTACGAATTAAGTGTAGCACGGAAAATATTGATACTGTGTGTGTCCTGAAATATTATTGTTCAGAAAGTGAACAATTTTTATTTAGTACCCAAATTAAATAATAATAAATCAGGACTGTGAATTAAGCCAAAAATGAATATTTAATAATGTCAGGGAATAAATATTGATAATCTTGATTTACTGAGAACCACTAGGTGTTTCTTTTCCAGAGATTACGGATAATAAATATTTAGTCCACCCATTCGGTTCATTCAAAATGTTTTACTTGTGAACCGTAATATTTAACAGGTCATCAAGTCACCAGACAATCATAGAGTCAAGAGGGACATGCTTCATCTTGCCAATTATTATTTTGTTAAATATTAAGTAGTTTTAGTACGAACGACGATAGTAAATACTTTAGAGTTTAGGTTATAAATCTTCTTGTATTCAAATCAGTCTCCTATTCTGAACTTTCACGAACAGAGTTTCAACGTTGGTTTAAGGATTGTTTCCAGTGCACATTCACAACAAAGTTAAACCATTCAATAATACAGGTCATCATACATATTTTTACACCGTGGCGTGGTTGGATCTAAAAACAGAAACAAATGAGACTATTTAAAATATATTTTTTCATTTCAGCACAGTATTGAATGATGATCCTAGCGCACATGTCCATAGTTTTTAGTTCCCAGCATGCGCTAGACTGTGACAATGTACACATTGTTGACCATTGCATGTAATCCAACCACCTACCAACTTAAGTAATACTGTATATACATCTGTTGTGCTTCATATGCTTATAGTAAACTTTGTTGTCATTTTCTTAATAGGTTGTTTGGATTATGCTAGCTATTGGCTTTTTTTTGGTGTTACGTTGATCCATATTTTGTTACGTTATTAAACTGAATTAGGATGAGAGAAATTAGATTCGAATTCTATTAAATTCTAAATATATTTTAATGACACGGCAACATGTATGCTACATTTTGTGTGATCATCAATCAATGGTCTCATTGATGATGATTTAAATTCTGTCGTCAGATTTCTGATAAAACAAATAACTTATTGTGTCAGCGTATAAAGTTTGTTAGTCTCATTAACCTGTTTAATCGAAATCCTTATATACGTATCAGTATGATATTATATTGATATAACAAATGTCAATCAATCAAATCACTACTATATTTAAATAATTGTGTGATTTGAAATTCTCTTTAGAGTTGTGACTGGCTGATTAGCTTTGAAACTATTAGTTAATTACAATTGGTCAGTAGAAAGATAATTTAAAATTACTTGGATTCGTATTTTTCTGCATAGTTTTAGAATATCTCATTTAGAAAATACACATAAAACACCAATGGAAGATATCATTAAAGAAGCTGATAAGTTAGTTGCACAAGGTCAATTTCATAAAGTTTATCATTATCTCAAAGCTTCATTGAAAAACTACGATGATGTTGAATTATTATGGAGATTTGCTCAATCATGTTATCTTTGTGGTAATGTTCTTGCTTTATGTCATCATGATGAGAAAATTTATTAATAATACTAATTATTATTCTTGCTATTAGTTTATTATGTCACAAATAAACCATGTAAAGCATTCTGTGAAACATATTTCTCAGAGGGGATGAATGCAGCTAAAATGGCTATGGAGAAAAACCCTAATCACGCTAATTCCTTAACGGTATTTTGAAATTTCATTACATTTATATAAGTCATTTATTTATTCACCAAATCTATTCAGTGGTATGGTATCTTATGGGATGAACACAGTAATTTGAAAGGTTTCTCAGAAAGATTCAAGAATGTCTCACAGTTATATGACATATGGATTGTAAGTTGACATGTTACTTATTCATTCGAAAATCGATGGAAATTAAAGAAATCACAAAAACTTGATCCGAATAACTTTTTAACTGAGGGTAGTTTAGGCATATGGTAAGTAGTTGCACTTGAAATATTTTCTTACATCCATATAAGGTATTTTATTATGACAGATGTATACAGTACAAAACCAGAACTTTTTAAAGGTACAAAGTATACTGGGAAGGAATTCTCTTATGAATTGGTATGTAATGAGTAAATTCCCAATAAAAACCCATTATTTGTATGTAGGCATTAAAACATATGCTGAAATGTGAAGAATGTAAGTAGAGTATAGATATGCGCACATAAAAAATGTTTACAATCTTTTCGATAAATGAATAACACAAATTCTCATTGATTTCATTTTTTTTTAAATTAAAACATGGAGTGGCTCCTATGAGATCTGTAATAACACTGGCACATTTGGCTAAATGTTATGCACGACTAGGAGAAAAAGACAAAGCGAAAGATTATGCTCTTAAAGTACTTAATTATCCTGCACATCATGTCGAAGCCGATGAGGTAAGTATATGAATGTCATGTATATATATATGAATATGTACTGGTGACCTAGTTATATTTATGACGCAACTAAATTAAGTGTATTGGCATTAGATTGAATGGTGATTATTATCCGATAGTTGAAGGTAAGCACCAAGGGGCTCTTGAACCAGGTCATTTGTTAGTTGAAACCCTTTAGCGATGTGGATTTGGACTCATCAGGGAACTGACGGTGCCCATGAAATTTGAACGAGTAACATTCAGTATCAGTCACTAACGTCACCTATTAGATACAAATACGCTTTGTTAACGGGTGACAACTAGCATAAAATCTAGGTGGACGGCTCACTAACAGCTTCAACCAACCCTTTATCATAGAGGTTGATAAACATATCTGCTAAACGGCTAGATGAACCCATATAACACATTCGGTTGGCCGCATGTACGAGATACTGTGATGTACAACAAATTCATGAAGTAACATTTACTTACCCAATCTTAGGTGTTACTGATGCCGGGTTTATTAATAGTATGAATTCAACTGTGCACAGTTTTAGTCATCACAGTGTAATTAGGAGTCATTTTAATTGTCCTCATGAGCAACAATCCCTCTAGATTTGTATCTGTTAGTCGAGATCTAGACTTGGATATGTTCAAGTTCACACATGGAAATAGTTGCTCATACATGTAAACCGACTCCAAGAAGCGAAGATTTCACACATAGACTTATAGAATGTTTCCTTTGCGATAAGCGACTAGAATTCAATCAATATAGCACTTTCTCAACCAAACCGTTGTCACCTTACAAGTTTATTATTTCCATCTGAAAGGTATGATCATATATACTTGTGTCAAAACAAAATGAAACTGGCGGAAAATTAAATTATTACACAAAAGCTTTGGAAAGTCACAACAATTCACTTTTAATTATATGACTTCAGTAATCGTTTTACTAAACACATTTCCGAAAACTGTTTTTATGCCTAATGTCCGGAAATAGCCACATTTAGGTCCTTCAATCTACTTGGGTAGTGGGTTAAGTTAGATTTCACACTCATTTCCTAAGATTCAAATATGGAGAGTCGTTTCTTTGGCATAATTTCTGACTGCATTTACACACATTTAGTAGATGAACTTACGGGGATCATTTGTCTTTTGTATTGCAGTTTGTTCATCGTTGATATGTAATAGGGTAATCAATGTATTTTTTATATTATCTCGGATAACGTCTACCAAATTATTTTCTACTACATGTTTGTAAACATATATATATCTTTAATCATTTATAGGCTAGGAAAGAAGTTGAGGGATTATTTCAAACACTTAAATGATTACGCTAATAATGATAGTAATTACTGTACTATAATGAGGAAGGAATTATATTCCATCACATTAAAATTAATGAAGCGATTACTAGTACTAACGTATTATAGTGTTTCATGTATATGAACATTCTACAAATATATGTGATGTGTGTGTATGATGAACTTTATTATTTAAGTTCTGTATGTTCAATTGAATTGTTAACTGTCTACCGGAGTGGCAGTAAACAACCGTATCTGATCACTTTCTCTATTATAAGAACATTTTTTTAACCACAAAAGAAACGTGTTGCAACTACAGTCCTAATCTATCATCATGATTATTAAGATTAGAAAAGTTACAGTTTGAATATGTTATTCACAAATTTAAGCGATTGAACTCATTGTATATATTATTTGTTTTAATGGTTCCTGATGGAATTCCAATGTGTACACGGATTAGTCTGTGAATAATCACGATTACTACAATCCAGTTGTTAGTGCTTATCAAAAGACTATGGAATAATATATGAAATGTGAACAAATAAAACTTTCGATGGTATATATATATATATATATATATATATATATATATATATATATATATATATATATATATATATATAAGCAAACGAACTTTTAAGAAACAAGTACTCGTAGTAGTCTCAACTTAAGCAGACAGCTACTTGTTTGTTTCAGAAGTGTTCTACCCAGTTATGTCATCTACATAAAATTCAGGATATTTTACGGATCTGAAGTATTTCAAAGATTGTGATGGGTCATATCACCAACAGGAAAGGAGTAACTTTCAAAACTATTCTTTGGTTTTGATTCATACAGTTCAATGTAGTGAATTTACTACCTAGTGATGGTAGAATATGATAATTCATTCGGAAAGCCTTGTTTCTAAGCACCAAAACTAGCATAAGGAATCAAATACTACAATCCGCATCATATCGGTTGGTAATCCGACTGATATATTGAAATTAAATGTATGAGGTGAAAATTCAAGAGCCAATACCTTTCAAATGTCTACACGTGCCTGAGGCTTCGTATAATACTTCTCAATCAGTAAGCTCTTTGATTTGGTATGTTGATATTCTTTCGTTATTCGACGACATACATGTATTGCCTAGTACCGATCCTCTCAGTTATTCTGAAGTCTTTCAGAGTTAGAAGCACTCTCTGAATCCACGGAAATCTTTTTAAACAACATAAGATCCTAATGAAACATAATTGATGACATAGTTAGTTCTTCTGCTTCTGTAATTTTACTACTCGAAGATCTCTTCTCTTATTAGACAAATCCTATTCCAAGTGAGAAACTTTACCAGTATGAGAGAAAAGTCAACTAAGTATTGCGACGGAAATAGAAAGATAGATGTGAGTACATTACCGCGTTTATCCATAGTACACTGTAGGCCAGGATGATAAAAGCCTTGCATAAACGATTAGCCAGTAAGCTTTATTACTATAAGCTTGCTATCAGTGACGCTAAGATTGACCAAGAGTTTGCTTATTTTGTTCCGTTAGTATATGGAAAGTATTTTTAGGCTTCATAATCGTTGATAGTTACTACATCAGAACAGTCTGAAAGTGTTCATGAGACAGAGCAACAAACCTAAAATCCCACTGCAAATAACACATTTCAGTACTTTCCTTGATACTACTAAAACCAAAACCAGTAGCATGTTTGTGATGTGAAAAGCTTTGTAACTCTTCTAACCGTGTGTGTTCCTTGTCTCATAAAAAATTAAAACAGGACATTCTGTATATCTAGTGTCTGATTTCTAGCTACCAGCTGCAAATTTTCTTCAAAGCAAAATACCTTAAGCTACACATTTCTTAATTTGTAAAAAGAATAATTCTTTTCTATCTCGAGGAGAGACATCAATTCAACATATAGAGGATACTGTCCCGTGTCCACCTAATGGGAAATTAGGTATCCACAAATCTTTATCAGATTTTTTACCAACTTTACCTTTAGTCACAGTTTCATTTCTTTAAAGGATCGAAACATTAGCTACACTACATACATGCAGACATGACATAAGATATAAGGGTACATCAATTAGGGAGGTAACCTTTTATTAATAAAAAACGTCAACATAGATGCATCCTACTAACACTTTTTGAATTAATGGTGAAGCCGAGTTTGTCGCTCATAACCGAGGTTATCACAAAGCCAGTCATTTCTGTCCCTATAAATACAGATATACACTACATCACTACTTTCATACATCACGAAATACACCCGTTTGTTTCGTTGTGATATAAATAACGCTGTGGTCATTTGTGTTCTGGAGAGGTAAAATGTCTCATTGGATTAGTAATACAGGGTATCATTAACAAGATTTAAGTGAGAATGTAATGGAAGAAGCAATACTTTAGCATTAGTGTTTGACTTAGTGTTTTCACATCAGCAATTACACTTAGCATATACACAAACTATAAGTTATGTTTCACTTGACTATAATCGTTACACTTACATACAAATGTCTTAGTAAAATGTAGTTCTTGAGAAGTATTGACGACATTAAGTGTTAAATTCATGAGTGTTCCATAAAGTCTAATTGCTTTAAAACAAGATTTATCTAATCATATAGTTATCTAAAAAACGTGGGGGCATATTTTTAGAATAAAATATAGACATGGACTTAGTGTGGAGGTCTAATCAGTTGAGAGATATTCATGAAGAAGCGATACTATGGGCGGGGACATCATCGTCAGTGGGTATCTGAAAATTCGACTGTCAGAAAATTTCACCCAATATTAACTCTAATATGTACCATTATTCATGCATCCAGTAACGCACAGAGTCCTCTCATTTACGAAACAATTCAAGTACCTATATCTCTCATTAACATGACGATGTATCAAGGGTAAACACAGAATACATTTTACACATGTTCTACACAACAAAAAACGCATCAATATTAGTGATAGGTGACCGAAATGTACTAGTCTAACACAATCCAAAATAGCACTGACTTATACAAGTTGTGTTCATTTCGGTCGTTTCTAAATCTAAAAAGCAACAACATTCCAGAGAGGATCAAAACAAATACTAACCCAATTATTATATTCTCTCAGTAAAATTAAAAGATAATTGAGGACTAAAAACATAATTATAATACAAGGCCATTAAAACTGACATTGTTAGTTAATGGTAGACAGTCAAATGAGAGCAGAAGGATCAAATATGGAACACGGGAAAGGCACTATACCATATGATAAAGCGACTCTTTACAGAATCTATAGCCATTATGAAGATCATAAAAGTGAGGGGCTTGTATATGGTTCGATTTCATCGCAGTAAGATATATCATACAATTTCAACGCTATTAATGTAGGGTTCCCAGACACATGTATAATTAGATGACAAAGGCCCCACCTCTGATTGGTAGTACGGTGATGATTATTTCATAGTTTCACAATAATACGTGACCTAGTGATTGTATGTCAAAAGTAAGGATGTGTAAGTTTTTTCTAAAGCTAATAAGGGAGTCCTGTAGATCGTCAAAACCAACTTAGAAATGACCACTGGTACAGTATGCTGTTCCAAGATGCAGCTATTTAAACTTATATTTGTGAGACGATTCACACTGAAAGATAAGTTTGTCTGCACAACTATACTTCCGTGAATAAGTCACAGTTCACAATGGAATGCAAGTTATTATATTTCGTTTATTTATAAATATCAACAGCTATAGCGAAAAACAGTTAAAAATTCATTATGTACTCGTCTATGAAGAATTTCTTTTGCATGGACTCTTCCATTAGACAACTTTTTCATCATAAGATGTACTTCTTCAGGACAGTTGTCTTTCGATAACAGTAAATAAATGCAGCCGTGCGGTGAGAGCAAATTGTAAGCTTGACTTAAAAATGGGTCAATCACCTGAAATTCAGTTAAGAAAACGCAATGTACAAATAAGGGGGGGGTTGAAGGAAGGACGAACAATATAAACCATTTTATTTGACACACCACAAGCAAATTATGGTCTAAAGGAATATGGGGAAATCTTCAGCAAGCGTTTAATAGATCTAGTACATTCATTGCCCCCCTGAATGCCCTGGTACGGCCGAGAGTGGGGAGAGTCCGCTCTCCCTCTCGAAATACTCTCACACGGCCACGCGTATACAGCCTCTGCCAGGGAAGTCCTACTCATTGCCTTCTCGTGGCGGGGGTGTTGTCTACGAAAATGAGAGGACGAAAAGCGAATGTCCGGCGCTTTAACCGGATTCCAAATCAATGGTGCACATGGGCTCCAGTATCCTGCGGGAACGAATGGCGTATGAACCAATCGTTGGTCACCGGCTACCATGGGACTGCATCTCCTTACGATGCTCCACTGCCTTGTGGGTTAGACCTTTAGGTCAAAGGCTCGGGGAGTGGCCCCCTAAGATAACCACCTGCTTCGGTTTGGGCACCCGGGCAGTATCACAGCCCACACACAAATGATGAACTCTTTATGCCTACGGAAATTACCTTTCTTGCTTTGAAAAACAAACAATTGATTCAGATTATTATCATTACAATTATTGTCATTATTAATACTGTTATTATTATTACTAGTATTATTGTCATTATTGTTATTATTATCATTATTATTATTATTTTCCACATTATTCACCCTCTTTTATACTTATACAGCGGCTCGTCTTTGGTGGAAATCCGACTGTATCTAAACGTTCTCGAGTCACTGTCCGGTTGAAAATTGTATGTTACCACCGAATACGAGGACTGAAGCAGATTTTCTGAAACCACGTGCACCATTCAAACTGGCTGCCTTCAACGTTCGCACATTTATGCAGGTCGGACAACAGATAGGGCTGGCTATGTCTTTGGAAAGTCTTAATATCGACGTGTGTTGTCTATCCGAGACCCGTATTCAAGACTCTGGCGAAGTACTACAAATTCGATCTCCATCTGTCGCTTCGAAAAGCTTGTTTTACGTGCGCTTATCCGGGGACCCTGTGGCATCTTCGTCTGGTCTTGCTGGCGTTGGTGTCGCACTAAGCGCTAGAGCTGAGGCAGCACTAGTCGATTGGATCCCCATTAACAGTCGGTTATGTGCTGTTAGATTAGAAAGTTCCATCAAAGTGAGAAGAAATCGGCGTGAGAAACGATGTCTTTTCGTCATCTCCGCCTATGCCCCGACAGATTGCAGCCCGGATGCAATCAAGGATGAGTTTTACCACCAGTTATCAGTTCTTCTCCAGAAAGTGCGTTCGACAGATATTGTAGTACTAGCCGGAGACTTGAATGCTCAGGTCGGGCGTCTAGGCACAGAAGAGAGTCGTTTAGGTGGCCGATGGGGACTCGTTGGTCGCAGGTCAGATAACGGGGACCGTCTACTGCAACTTTGCACAGACCACAACCTGTTTCTGGCTAGCACTAACTTTCGGCACAGTCATCGCCGATGTGCCACCTGGCGTCCTCCCTCTGCATCTCAAGCCTGGACTCAGATTGATCACATCGCGATCAGCTACCGCTGGCGTGGTTGTGTAAAAGACTGCCGCTCCTTTTGGAGTACCTATCTGGACTCTGACCATGCCTTGGTCTGCGCCAATCTTACCTTACTTTTCAGTGGACAACGAAGTGAACGCCATCAACGGATTGATGTTAGCAAGCTGGTTGCAACTTCTGTTGCAAGTAAGTATCGAACCGAGCTAGCCTCTAGGCTAGCTACCACTCCACCGAAAAGTATAGATGAGCATTGGTTGCAATTGCATGACGCCATGAAAATGGCGGGAACAGTCAGTTGTGGGTTTGCGAAACGTCCCGCCTTTAAGCACTGGGTTTCTTCTGGTTCCTTACAACTCATTGAAGCCCGTCGGTCTACTCCGGGTGACCGTGAGTTTGACCATAAACGAAGGATGTTACGTAAGGAAATTGGGCAAAGCTTGCGTAAGGACCGAGAAGCCTGGTGGTCGATGCGTGCTAATGAGCTGGAAGCAGCAGCTGCATCTGGTAACTACCGGAAGCTCTTCCAGCTCATCCGAGCCACTGGCAGCAAGAAGTCTGGTGTGAGTGAAACAATCTGCGAGGATGATGGGATGCCAATCACTAACATCCATCGACGTCTTGGACGATGGGCAGAATTTTTCGAAGGGCAGTTCAACTGGCCTGCTGCTCCGGCAACATCGGTCAGACTGTCCTGCCCTCCATGGCCGGTGACGACTGATCCACCAAATGAGGAGGAAGTCCGCAAGGAACTCCAACTCTTGAAGCGTTACAAATCACCTGGCCCAGATGACTTACCTCCGGCTCTTTTTAAAGATGGTGGTGACTTTTTGACTAAGGAATTGACGACGTTGTTTACAAAGGTTTGGGAACTAGAGTGTGTACCAACGTCATGGAATGAGTCGATAGTTGTCCCTATCTTTAAAAAGGGTTCACGTCGTTCCTGTAACAACTATCGGGGGATAAGTTTACTTCCGATTGCGTCCAAGCTATTGGCTTCCGTCATTCTTCGTAGGTTGTTCAAAACCCGAGAAAGATTGACTCGCGAGGAGCAGGCTGGGTTTCGTTCTGGTCGAGGATGTATTGATCATATCTTCACCCTCCGCCAAATGTTAGAACACCGCCATACTTTTCAAAGGCCAACAATCGTAGTGTTTCTTGACATCAGGGCTGCCTTCGATTCGTTGGACAGGACTGTTCTCTGGGATTGTCTATTGAAGAAGGGTGTGCCTGAGAAGTTTATTAACATCCTAAAAGCCCTATATAAAAACACCTCAGGCAGAGTGAGGGCATACAACCACCTCTCTCCATTGTTCCATTCGAGCAGTGGGGTTAGGCAGGGTTGCCCAATCTCACCATTCCTCTTCAACTTTGCCATCGATGACATTCTGGAAACAGCTCTGATGAATGTAAGTAATGGTGGTGTGGATCTGTTGCCTGGAGAAAGACTTCTCGACCTTGAGTATGCGGACGATATTGTCTTACTGTGCGATAATGCCCAAGGCATGCAATCCGCACTTAATCAGTTGGCAATCAGTGTCCGTAGGTATGGTATGTGCTTTGCACCTTCGAAGTGCAAAGTACTTCTACAAGACTGGCAGGATTCTAATCCTGTACTCACCCTGGATGGTGAGCAGATAGACGTAGTTGAGAAGTTCGTGTATCTGGGTAGCTGCATAAGTGCTGGTGGGGGTGTGAGTGATGAGATCAATGCACGAATAGTGAAAGCCAGAGCGGCTTATGCCAATCTGGGCCACCTTTGGCGCCTTCGTGATGTTAGTCTGGCTGTAAAAGGTCGGATCTACAACGCGTCGGTGAGAGCAGTTTTGCTCTATGCTTGTGAAACCTGGCCTCTCCGAGTTGAGGACGTTAGACGACTCTCTGTGTTCGATCATCGCTGTCTCCGAAGGATTGCTGACATTCAGTGGCAACACCATGTCAGTAATGCAGAGGTTCGGCATCGTGTGTTCGGGCACAGAGATGATAACTCAATTGGTGTCACCATCTTGAAACACCGACTTCGGTGGCTTGGACATGTTCTCCGAATGTCGTCCCAGAGAATTCCACGTCGTGCATTATTTGCCGACTCTGGGACTGGTTGGAAGAAGCGGAGAGGTGGTCAGTGCATGACATGGTGTCGTGGCATGAAAGAAAGCTGCAAAGGACTGGCTTGTGTTGGTCCTTCACGACTCCCTGGTTGGGGTCCGAGAGATGGTGCTACACAGTGGCTAGAGACGTTATCAGATATGGCTCAGAATAGAAGCCAGTGGCGATCCTGCTGTAACCTTCTTTTACTTTCTTCATAAAAAGTGGTTGTGTCTCCTTTACCTGAAAGATTTCTTCTGATTGTACCTTTTCGTTCCGTCGTTACTACCACACTACCTTACTCCAATCTCTTCGTCATTGTTCTCTTTTTCTTTTGCGCTCCTTAGTTTTTTTTTCTACTTCTCTTCGAATTCTCATTGTTTTGTGTGGCGCATATATATTGGCGCTCTCTTGTACCAATATTTATGTGTTCAAATAAATAAAAATAAATAAATAGTACATTCATTTGTGAGAGTTCCAAAAGATCATATTAATCTCAGATTAATAGAAGTTTTAGGAGCAAGTGACTTAAGCTAGCAAATTAGTACTTACAGATAGGGAATTCGAAATGCAGGGAAAGACGACACTTGGTAATTTCATATAGAATCTTCAAATGAACCTTCTACTTTATTCATTGCTATCTACAAGATACTGTCTAACAGGCAATCTAATATATTTTCATGTTGAATAACGGTTTCGGTATACAACACAATTACATAACAGAGTACAGAACTATCAACAAAAGGAATAATGAGAAAGTACTAACACAGAGAGTGGACTTTTTTAAATACAGCTACAGATGTTCAAAATGGACTTCAGTGCATAACATCCAAATAAGATATTAAACTTGGATTAAGTTCTGTAATATCCATTGATTTCTGTGATGTTGACTCAAGACCGGTGAAATTAAATCGATTGTTACGCACACCGAGTTTACCGAAAAAACACCAAAAATATGCCTATGCCTGCAAGAAGATTTGGAACGACAAATTTATAACTTTTAACTGAACCAAAAAGCCAGCAAAGTAGTCTTACTTCTCTTCCCAGTCGCCCACCAGACCATGAGGCAACTATAGTCGAACTAGCAGCTTTGTGTTCATCTGACGTTGTCGGTACATAGGGAGGATTAAACATGATTAAATCCACACTTTTATATAGTCTAGGCAAGAGGGGAGTTGCTAAAGAACAATTAATTACATCATATGTCACCGATGTACTAGGAACATTTACGTTCAGCACACGTAGAGAAGCGTAACATGCCTACAATGGTAAGATAGTGATTGAATAGCCGCATACAGTGAGGGATATGTCGGTGCATATGTGGAAGAGTGGTTTTGAAATGGATGAGCAAAAGAATGCACTGATAACTCCACTACCGCTTCCAACTTCAAGAGTTAAAGTGGGCCTCAATTCGGACAAAAATCCAGAATCCAACTCCAAAGCATCCAAAAATAAGTAGGAATCCTCAGATGGTGGGTAGACTTCTGAAAACTCTGATTCGTTCATACAAGATGTTATTGGAGTGGTCATGAGATAGATAAGTAGAGATACGAGGGACACCTCAGAGTATAGACCTAAAATGTTGAAAGCATTGTGGGATGAATGATGGTAAACTCAGACCCGATACAAAACATCTCAACAGTTTTATGAAATACCTCATTTTGTGAGCTACACGAAGCAAAATTGGTGATGACTATGGTTAGGGGCTCGATTTTCAACGAATATGTCGTGTAAAACCTGTTTCATTGAATCTCAAAATACACGTATTACTTCTAGTCTTTGCATCAGTTGATCAAAACCCACACAACCTACTCTAATAACTAAAACTCTGGATGAGCACTTCTAGCATCCCAGTACATCATTTATTCGCTTCCAATGACACACTGTGGTAACCAGCTTTGGGAGAAAATCGATCAGTATTACAAAACAAGTGAATGATCGAATCAATGTGGGAGCTGATTGGACTTTGGTGGAATGCTGTACGACTGTGGTTAGTTGTAGTTACACAAGACATTTCCCTCTCCAGATGACTTTTAGGTAGGTTTTGAGTCGAACTCAGCATTCGAAAGCATCTTCAACTACTCTACAACCAATATTAACCAGGATGACATACTACGGAGTCATTCGGGAAGTTCAGGTAGGTAGATTGATGATTATATGTAGGATACAAACTTCAGAAAACACAAGGACAAAGAACGTCAGAACACAAGCACATATGAAGAGTCTGAGGTTAGTAAAAGTCGAGTTCAATATCCTGACGTCAACATTTCCGCCAAAAATTTCTCATCTATCTTCAAGTAAAGATTCACTTCGTAGACTGTTAGCAACCATTTCTTCTAAGAACAAATTTGTGTCACCACACAACTCATCCAACTCAAAGCCCGTCATATTACAGACCGTACACAAAAGTTTGACTTTATCGGCGCCTATTAACATTCCTGAAGTGCGTAAGTTATCACAAAGATAAACACTGATGATGTTGAAAGTTAGTGATTCATCGAATCGACAAATCAGGTTAGAGGACGCGTAAGGAAGTCTGTTGACATTAGACGTAAGATTAGATGCAATATGGGTTCTTGGTTATTAGAGATCACGCCTCACACATCTGAAGGGCTAAATGTGTTGGAGTCTGCATTGACAGACAAGAAGTTACATGACTACGTCCTAAGTCGTACTCTCTGTATACTACGATCAATATAACAAAACTACCAGGGGTCAACGGAACAAATTCCTGCAGAACGGAAGGACCAGTCGGCTTGCATTTTATCGTTATTAGCTATTAAGTATACACTATATAGGACGAAAAGAAAAATGGCGAGACTCTAATTTAAGGACGACCTTTGAACGAATCTTAAGTGACCTTGACAATTATTAGCCAATCAGAAGAAAGTAAGTATAAAGTGAAAATATATTATATGAAAGTAATGGATTACAGTGGATATTCTCCTTTTACATGATTTAAAAACTTGTTAAAGTTTGATTAAGGTTCAGAGGTTCTGAATTCACGATGCATATGGAATAGAAACTCGTCCATTGGGTTAGGGTTAGGTTTACGGGTAAGGTTAGGGTTTAGGGTTAGGGTTAGTTGAGGGTTAAGGTTTAGGGTTAAGGTTGGGGTTAGTTGAGGGTTAAGGTTTAGGGTTTAAGGTTAGGGTTAGGTGAGGGTTAGGATGCTAACATACGAGTTTTTAAATCATGTAAAAGAAGAATATCCACTGTAATTCATTACTTTCTTTTAATATATTTTTACTTTATGCTGTTTTCTCATTGACTAATAATTAAAATTGCTCAGACTCTTCTGATTGGCTCGTCCCTAAATTAAAGTCTCGCCGTCCCATTTATTGTAACCTCTCATTAATCACCTACTCTTTAAAATCCGCTGTGAACCGATCGTATGTTAGCATCGCGTGTTGAACTTGGCTCCGTGAGCTTGAAATTGCTCGAACGCTTCTGATTGTCTCGTCCCTAAATTAGAGTCTCGCCAGAAAAATTAGTATTAACAATTACTGCTTTTACCCTACGATTCTGAGTATTGACGACCAGATGTTCTGTGTCTAAGACTTAGTGACCATTTACTTTGAGAGAAGGGCCATAAGGAAGCAGACTGACTTTGCATGCCAGACTCACCTGCTGGATGCAAGATATGAAGTACATCTGTGGCAATGTCACTTGATGTCAAGCGAAAACGTAAGTATACAACAGTTACTACAGTTATATTTCTATGCACTTATATTCCCAATTAACAGATTCTCAAACAAACTAGCAGTGACTTTTTTTGCTTTCACTTCATAGTCAGGCAGTCAAGTATTGAGCTGTTGGTTCACAACTTGATGCGAACAAGTTATCACAACTGATATTATTTTCAGTCAGTCTATCCTATATTTTGAAACTAACGACGTTTTTGGAATGCGTATGTAAAATTCAAAAAATCACTAACTTCAGTTCAGAAGTCACTAACTGAGCAAAAATAGACTGATGTGAACAACGATTTTGGATCCGCACGACCTTGGAATTCAAGTCAGTACGCGGCCGTTGTACTTGATATCAAACTCCAAACGCATTTTAGGTAATAGAGAAGTGTCACTTTGTCGGACTCTCGCAAAAGTCTCTGAGAGGCTTGGAACGGTTAAATAATGAATAACATTCGAGATGGTTGTTAAATATGTCTGGAGTAATTTTTGCAACGAGAATATCAAGCTTCTTTTCAAAAGAATCATGGCCATCTATGTCGTTTTTTCACTCCATAGTTCTCAGACTGCGACCGAGAATGCTTGCATGTATTTTACATGTACTCTATAGTGTTCCAACAAGCCTAGTACATGTTGGGAGTGGGATACACGCATTTCAGACATGCTAATATTTAAATCCCGATCTTAGTACTAGAATAAGAGGTCAATAATGACAGAAGATAGTAAAAAAAACAGCTAAGATTAATCGCCCCAGGCTGTAACACTGATCTAAGTTGATCCAGACCTTACTCTAATGGTCACGTTCGACCAAACTCATGGTTATGGTATGATTCACTGCATGACTTAACCACTGACTGTCCGCTTAGAAGGGTTACAGACACTATCGCGAATAGATATTGATCCCGTCCTGTTGGAATACTCTTATTGATTTTTAATTGCCAATTACTTATTTATTAACTGGTGCTTTTGCTACATAGCACGATATTTTGTGCTAGAGAAACCCTTGACAATATGGCACAGGCAATACTGTTTGATAAATTCTACACCCTTAATAATTTTTTCTTAACTTTGAACCGCTTTAATCGAGCCCAGAGTGTGTGTTGATATAATTTAATGAGGGTTACTCAAGAACGTTTCGTACGCTATACGTAACTTTGTTTTGATGGTCTAGTTCGATATTAGTACGTCTATAGTGATGGGCCAAATCCCAAAATTGTAGATTTTTCGTGATGCGACCATATAATCTATAAGATCTTGTGTGGAAGTCACATCACTGTTTGTACTGACCCATCGTGTTGCGACAATCAGTAATATGGTGTCTAGCACTTCTGAAGAACGCATCTGGACTAAGGATAGAACCAACAAATGTTGTAATTTATAGATCATACCTGTAAAAACGGTGTGTACCTGTACATGCAGATATATTATATATATTTAACATGAAAGGTAGGAGTTACACGGAATCACTACGCCTCCATTACCGAGCAATGTCATTCTTAGTTTGTGCTCCCAAGTTTGCCGTGACTTGTCGATTCCCAGTTACGTGAACAAAATATAAGAGGCGTGTTAAAATTTCTAGGTGAGAACGGAATGAAGTTAAACAAAACCAAGCGTGTTTGCGGATTTATACCTTATAATTTTATCGAAAGCAAAGTAAACTTAAAAAGGGATTACATCAATCAAAAAATAGGCAGAAAGTATTGGACCATATCCAACACCCAGGTTTTGACACGAGTTTTTAGGCTTAATTGGGTTATAGGTCCGAATAACTTTAACACTATGGCTTTTTGTTAACACTAATTGATAGTGTTTTCCAAGTAGAAACCCTTTAAACTTTTTTTAAGTGTCTGGATCCTCATATAATGGGCCAACGTGGTCGAATACGAAAGCTGATAGTCAAACGAAAGAATAATCTTAAGAAGTAAACATAGGAGGACAACCTAAATATCGTTGATTAGTTGCTATGTATGCTGAAGAATTATGTTTCGGATTAATCCTGCAAACGTTATATCAAATACAGAAACTTAAAATAAATGTACATTTACAGAATAAAGAGCTATTATTAGAATTTGAGAATGTCATCCATTTTCACACGATAATAATTGTTTTCATGGGTTAGTGATCGTAAAAGAATGTCTGTAAACTGAATTCACTAACGAATAACACTATTACTGTTGGGGATGATAAATCCTCAAACTCATATTTTTAAATTTTATCTTATCAATCAACTTATCGATTAAATGTTTGAATGGCAGTCAGTTGATGAACCTATCGATTAAATGTGCAAATAGGTCAATTGATGAACTATCGATTAAATGTTAAATATCGGTCAATTAATGAACTCATTGACTAATGTTTAAAGTTTTTCCATGACAATATCGATTGTAAATATTTGTATAAATACGCTTGATTGTGTGCTTGACCTGACTTGTTATCTGCTGTTGTCTGTAGAATACACTTCCTACAACTTACCCAGACTTCTTGATCGAGTTAGCAGAGTCGGGGACAACGAACCAGAATAGCTATCGAGTCGCTGAATCATTGATCCTTCGTTCCGTTCGAGTAAGGCGAATCAGTAATCGCATTCAAGCAATAATGAACCATAACAATTACATCCAATGGTTAGTTTCTCTACCCTCTCTGTAACAATCACGACATATGTATACAACAGTCAACGGGATTTGATATAAATGAGTCCGTTTAAAGTGGACATGTGAGCCTCAGGAAACGTAGGTTTGGTCCAAATAAAAAAAGCAGTATTTCCGAAAAATTTATTTTCTTGAAAATCACATAATGTGACTACAAAGCCGTCTTTTCTTCCTTTAAACAACTGACTTGCTACAGTAGATGAAGAATTGAACCGCCTTCAACAACAAGGAGTTATTACTCCCGTTTCCTACTCTGCTTGGGCAGCACCTATAGTGGTTATTAAGAAAGCCAACGGCACGATACGTATATGTGCTGACTTTTCAACATGTCTTAATGCAGCTCTGGAACAACATCACTATCCCCTGCCTGTTCCCGCAGACCTATTTGCCATGCTGAATGGGGGAAGGTTTTTCGCTTAGCTAGATCTAGCTGATGCTTATTTGCAAGTGGAAGTAGATGAAGCATCAAGAGAGCTGTTAACTATCAATACCCATCGTGGTTTGTTCCAGTATAACCGTCTACCTTTCGGAGTCAAAACTGCACCATCTATTTTCCAGCAATTAATGGATACCATTCTATCAGGTATCTCGGGAGTCGCGGCTTATCTGGACGACATTTTAATTGTACCGACGAAATTAGAACAGCTACGAGAACGCACAACATTGGTACTGCAACGCGTCAGTGACAACGGTTTCCGGTTACGCCCAGAGAAATGCCAGTTTTATTTGCAGTCGGTAAAATACTTGGGGTTCATTTTCGATGCCGGCGGCCGCAGGCCGGATCCTGAGAATATCCGAGCTATCAAACTGATGCCCACACCCACTAATGCCTCGGCACTACGTTCCTTTCTGGGACTTGTCAGCTATTACTCAGCGTTCGTTCCATCGATGCATGATATTTGCGTTCCACTCAATAGCTTACTGCAGAAGAATAGCTCTTGGAACTGGACTAAACAGTATGGCGCTGCCTTTTGTAAACTGAAGTCAATTATTAGCTTGGAATTGTTGTTGACACACTACGATCCAGCCATGCCGATCATCGTAGCTACGGACGCTTCAGCGTATGGCCTAGGCGCTGTTATCTCCCATCAGTTCCCGGATGCATCGGAAAAAGCCGTTATGCATGCTGCCCGCACACTAACCCCAGCAGAAAAAAAATACAGCCAGATAGAAAAAGAAGCTCTTGCGCTTGTGTTTGCTGTGCGCCGTTTCCACAAGTTCCTGTACGGTCGGAGATTCACGCTTCTCACAGATCACAAGCCTTTACTCGCAATATTCGGGTCGAAATCTGGCATTCCAGCTCATTCAGCAAATCGTCTTCAGAGATGGGCCTTAGCACTCTTGGGGTATGATTTCGAAATCCAGTACCGACGCACTCAACAATTCGGTCAGGCGGATGCCTTATCACGGCTCATTAGTGACCAGTTGGCGGCTGAGGAAAACACGGTAATCGCACCTCTGCTAGCGGAAGACCACGCCGAATGTAATCTGACGACCGCAATACGAACTTCGCCGGTATCTGCAACGGACATACAAAATGCTTCTAAGAGCGACCCCATCATCAAGATGACTATGAGCTATGTCACCAACGGTTGGCCGTCTAAGAAGTTTGATGGTGATATAAAACAGCTGTATCAGCGGCGGGATTCTCTATGCATTGTAAACGACTGCTTGATGTTCGGAGAGAGAGTGGTTGTGCCAGAATCCCTTCGTGCAAAAGTGCTGAAACAGTTCCACCTTGGTCATCCGGGGTTAGACGAATGAAATCCATAGCCAGGAGTCATGCGTATTGGCCGCTAATGGATCAACATATAACAGAATTGGTTGGAAAATGTATGCGGTGTCAGCAAGCAGCAAAAGTGAACGCCAAAGTTCCACCAGTTTCATGGCCACAACCTGATCATCCTTGGTCCAGGATACACGTCGACTTTGCAGGCCCGATTAACGGAACCATGTATCTAGTTGTAGTCGACGCCCTTTCGAAATGGCCTGAAATCAACCCTATCATACCGCCAACGACGACTAAAACAATACAGATCCTCACAGAAATTTTCTCCCGAAATGGTATACCAGATGCCATTGTATCTGACAACGGTTCACAGTTCACCTCCAGCCAATTCCAGTCATTCTGTCAACGACTAGCCATAAAACACTTACGCTCGCCACCATACCACCCGCAGTCGAATGGGCAAGCAGAAAGGTTTGTGGATACGTTTAAAAGAGCCTTGACTAAGACAAAAGGCGAGGGGACGCCAGCAGACGCGTAGCAAAATTTCTTATACGTTTGCCGAACAACACCAAATGAGACGTTGCCGGAGCGAAAGTCCCCAGCAGAGATCCTAATGGGAAGGAGACTGAAGACGATCCACAGCCTGATGCATCCAAGTAATGCACCGACACCAGTACAGACAAAGGTTGAAAAGCGATCTACGTACGAAGTAGGATGTCCTGTGTTTGCCCGTGATTACAGATCGACCCATAGTCCATGGACAGAAGCGCGAGTGGTCAGAAGAGTTGGCCGAGTCATGTACGAAGTTGAGATAGGCGGTGACAGGTGGCAACGCCATCGGAATCAGTTACGCAAACAGTTAGCACCAGACCGCCCATCAACCGAAGCAAATATTTCTCTTGACACCTTGCTAGACACATTCAACTTACCGGCAACCCCACCACAAGAAAAACCTCAACAACAAGCTGA